CCGCTCTTCCGCCTCCCTATGGACCCGGAGGCGCCGGCCCTGCAGGTGACCTGGGACCTTTCCTTTCACCGATATATATATATATATATATATATATATATATATATATATATATATATATATATAATATATATATATATATATATATATATAGTATAATGTATACTTTTATCTTATATATCTTTCGTATATATTGTGCATATATTGTCGTTTCTATGAGAACTGCTTACCTTAACAGCGTCATCACACACACACACACACACACACACACACACACAACACACACACACACACACACACACACACACACACACACACACACACACACACACACACACACACACACACACACACACACACACACACACACACACACACACATATATATATATATATATATATATATATATATATATATATATATATATTATATATGTATATATATATATATATATATATATATATATATGTATAATGTATACTTTTATCTTTATATATCTTTCGTATATATCGTGTATATATTGTCGTTTCTGTGAGAACTGCTTACCTTCACAACGTCATCTTTGCTTCGAAAGTCCAGAGTTGGAGTGATTAGAAAATGCAGGACTGTGCATTGCAGATATAATCTGTCGTTCATTACCAAATATCTGAACACATCACTAACATCGACTCAGAGAGACATTCTCACGGCCTCTCCTTCAGCAGGGTCTTTCATGCCCTCGCCGGCCATGATCCAGTCCTTCATCCCGACGCCCGAGGAGATCAACGCCCTCGCGGCCATTCCTCCAGCTCCTGGAGCCTTCGGAGCCTTCGGAGCCCCTGGAGCGTTCGGTGCCCCTGCCTTCGGTCCCGGGCCAGTGGCTCCTCCAAGTGAGTCTTCTACTGTAAAATCTCTGCCAATACAAATTAAGAAAAAAATCCTTTTTGCATGTGCTTGGTGCAATTATACGATCACAAAAAGGAAAAATAGTCCATGTACATCTGGATAACTATACAAATTATTGCATACAATTCACTTGATTTTACATTATATTCATAAATCATGAACCACTTCTTCACAGCCTTGCCTCCTGCAGTGGCACAAATGGTCAAGAAGTACCAGGCTGCTGCTGCTGCCTTCATGCCCCCTGCCCCCGCCGCTGCCCCCGGAGCAGCCTGAATTCATTCTTGATTAAGATTTAAATCGATGGAGGTGTATGTCTTGAGCCAATAAAATCAAATTTAGCATTAAAAGGCGATTTTATTGTCCCCTATCTTTTTGCTGGGGAAGAGGATACAAGCAACTTTTGCTAAATTACAATCTCAAATGAGCCCATTGCCTTTATGTGTATAACAAAAGGTTTATAACAATTCAGTGAAAGGATGAAACAGTCGCTCCATTCTTTTCTTTTCTTCTAGGTTTACGAGCTGTGTGCGAGTACTGACCTGATCCGCTATATTCACTATCCACTTGAATGTGCTAGATATATGATCCTGTAAAAGAATAATCACGGTGATTCCTTCTATATCCACTTACAGCATATTTCAATACTATTGTCAGTAGGTGCTATAAGTCTGTTCTTATTTCCTGGTGTATATCACCTTCGCTTAGGGCCGGCTCAAAGGACACCTGGTGCCAAAATCGAGAAAAAGTACTTCTCTAGACTTTGGCAATAAAACATAGTTCATTAATGGCGCCCCGTTGGTCATTCCAGGAGTGTCTGTTCGGCCCTTCTAAAGAACTCCATTCGGTGTTCCTTAAATGTCAGCCTTGGAGTACACTAAGCTTAACGGTGGTCATTTGGGCGTAATGGAATAAAACGCAATCTTTTTTTACTGTAATTATGATAATATACAGTCAGACCCTTTCTGTGAACCTGGATTTTGTTATCACCATCGTCATTTCTGTCATCATCATTCTCATCATCATCTTCACAATTATCATCAATATTGTTATAACTTTTCTTGTTGTTGTTGTAATTCTGGTAGTCTTACACAAGGTTCATATAATATATATATATATATATATATATATATATATATATATATATATATATATATATATATATATGTATATATATATATATATATATATATATATATATATATATATATATATATATATATATATATTATATATATATATATATTTGTATATATATATATATATATATATATATATATTAATATATATATATATATATATATATATATATATATATATATATATATATATATATGTGTGTGTGTGTGTGTGTGTGTGTGTGTGTGTGTGTGTGTGTGTGTGTGGTGTGTGTGTGTGTGTGTGTGTGTGTAGTATATATATATATATATATATATATATATATATATATATATATATATATATAATATATATATATATATATATATATATATATATATATATATGTCCCTCATTCCCGGAGGCGAAGGAGCCCCTGGTTACGGCGGCGATCAGGATCGCTCCGGAGCAGGGTGCTAAAATATCCGGGTAAAGACAGGCCGCCCCACGTTGATGAAC